GTGGGCTTTTGGGCCTGCTCTCAAACATCATATATATCACTGGGAATGACAGAGTCATGATCCTTTGAGGTGACAGCTGTTGCCTCAGAGAAGACCAGCCAAACGCATGGATTTTTTTGTGTCCTTCTGTACCCTCCTCCCCTCCCCAGCACCCTGCTTTCCACTCATGCATGCACCAAGCCATGGCTCAGTCTAGCTTTTATTAGCAGGAGGAGGAGATGGAGTAGGAGCTTCACATGTACAGAAACAGGCATTCCACATACACACCAATGGTAGGATACCTTATACCAGGGGTGGGCAAAATGGTGGGTCTGGCCAGTGGCGGGACTCCATTTCCCAGCAGCCCTTAACAGCATTGCTGCAGCCAGTTTCCATGGAGACCCGAGCAGCATGACAGTGCAAGGCCTGGCTTTCTGCGGAGACCAGCCCCAGCAGCACATGCAGGGTACACAGCAGGGCGGGGAGCTGCTCCACAGCCTGGGCTAGGATCTCGCGGTGGTGATAACATGGTCCAGAGCTGGGGCAGAGCTGCGAGCTGCTGCCCACACCCCCCTGCACAGGGCATGCTGGCAGCAGACTGCAGGTCTACCCCAGATCTAGACCATACTGTCACTGCTGCAATACCCCAACCCTGGAGCAGCTCTCCACCCAGCTGTGTGCCTTGCCAGCCCTGCTGGGGCCAGTCTCCATGAAAATCCTGGCCTCTGGCTGGGAAACCCTGGCTGGCACACACTGCCACTGCTGGGGTCTCCATGGAAACCAGCCACAGCAATGCGGGAAGAGGTTGCTGGGAAATGGAGTCTGCCATGAGCCTGATCCAGCCCACTGGCCGGACTTTCCCTGCCCCTGCCTTATACTCACCCTGTTAAGCTGAAAGCAGACTTGTGCTTTCAGACCTTATGTCCCATATTTCCATTTCCAATTTTAACCCCTAAAACTTAATTTTAACCCCTCAGAAGAAAATTGAGGATCTTACCTGCCTGGGTTTTCTTCACGCTGAAAGCAGCTGCTAATGCTGTTGCTGCCACTGCTGGTGTCGCTACTTTTGCTGTAGTTGTGTTGGCTCCAGCAACATCAGCAGCCCTGTGGGGTGAGATCCCTGAGAGCCACACCTGGTGCTCTGTTCACTCCTGTCTCCCTAGATATGCTATTGGGTGTAGGCAAAGTCTCCCCATGGTATGGGAAGCACTGCTCTGCTTGCCCCACTTGCCTCTGTCCCACTAGATACACTGCTAGGTGAAGAGCTACACTTTTCAGCTCCTATGGCCAGGCCAGGCAGGGCTGCCCCTGCTGTAGCAAAGACTCTATGGGGGATTGTGGCACTTCCCCACATTCAGCACCTGGGGCTGGTCCCTACTCATCCCCTAAAGTTGTGCTATGAGGAATGGAGTTCTGCACCACACCCTCTTCCCACACCAGCATTCCCCCTATGCCACAGGTAGGAAACTGGCACAGAAGCTAGGACTGCCAGCTTCATTTCACAGCAGGACAATAGAACAAGATGCCTGAAGAGATAGTTACATCTCCTTCATTGGGGGTTTTCAGAGTTTTGGAACAACACATCCTGCTTTTGTATAGAGGGTTACACTAGATGAAATCCTAGGATTCTATGTGATAGCATCTGGAAGTGCTCTTCTGTTCATTTGCAGAAGGAGCCAGAGTCCAGCTCATAATGTTGAGAACTGCACTAAAGTCAGCTAGAAGTTATCATAGAAAAGGACGGTGGAATCTGGCATTTCCTGTTCTTGATAGAAGGCTTAGTCACATATACTTCACATGGGAGGTTGGTTTCAATGCGGTGCAGGACAAGTAGAACTTACCTTAACACTTATGTGGAATAAAATACCTTCTGAACAGAACTCAGTTGACCAAGCTCAATGTACTGAATATCCCTGTGAATGCATATTCACGTTGATTTTGTTTACTGTGAATCTTTTTTTTTAACATCATTTTCTGTCTACTGACAGTAATCAGTTTGTTAAAGAATTCTAAGTTACATTTTTGCTAGGGAAATCAATTCAATTCTGACAGAATATTTATATTTCAAAATTTTGCACAAAGGACTGTTTAAACTTTTTATTAAGTTTTTTTCATATTTTTGTTGGGACAAACTGAAGATCCGTGCAAATCTGAGTTGTCAATAATAGCCATGTAGTTCTCACACTCCTTGGCCATTGCTTTGCAAGTTAGAAAATAAGCTTCTGTGAATATAAGCATTATGCCTTATTTTTCAAGATACATAAGACTGAGCTTTGTACTCGGTTCATACATTGTTGTTCCGACAACCAAGCCATCACCTTAGTGCTCACAGAGGTTTACAAAATGATTTGTTTCATCTCTTTGCTTTTTCAAAAGGCTTCTGTTTAACATTATCTTTCACATCAAGGATCATCTCTGACAGCATATGACAGGCTGAGTCCGCCAAAAATATTGATTTGCCTAACAGATTTTCACAATTGGCTTCTATTCCAACTGTCTTCCTGATTTTTTTCTCCTTTCCATAATACAGCTAGCCTGAAGTCACTATCAGAAAAATGACACATGTTGTTTGTGCAGTCATGTTTTATCAGGAGCATGAATTTCATTAAATTCTGTTTGCTGACATTCAATCATTTGTCACTGAACAGGCACCAAATGGTTATCTGTCATGGTCACATCACATTTGCAGTCCTGTCACTTGCACTCTTCTTACTGATTTGTGGAAATGTTCACTTCAACATTTGTATCTTTTCCCTAAATTTGCTAGTACGTCCCTAGGGACTACTGAAAATAAACTGGACTGTTCTGCTACATAGTATTAAGAACACTTAGATTATATCAGTCGCCTACACTTCCAAAACACTACCGTTTTCCTAGCACACTCAGAAAACTGTTCAAGGGGCACATCTACATGTGCAAATGCTCTGGGGTGGGTGTATTCTAGAGTAATTTACTCTAGAGTTGACCCACCCTGGGCAGGCATCTACACGTGCAGGCAAGCGGG